TCAGAGTATGGTACAAGGCTGCCGAATATACTGAAACACGAACTAAAAAAGAAGAACATCGGGGTAGCGTTTAGAACTTCGAACAAACTACAACGATTACTTAATCCTTCGTCCAGTAATAGTCTAGAAACAGGTGAAAAAACTGGAGTTTACAGATTATCCTGTGATGATTGCAATAGTTTTTATATAGGACAAACCGGCCGTGCTTTCAAAACCAGATTCAAAGAACACCTTCCAAAAGCAAAAAATCATTTAAAATCCAATTATGCAGCCCATCTCATTAACAAAAATCATAACTACACAAATTTTGAAACAAATATGACACCCCTACATTTTTGCACAAAAGGAAGCTTCATGAACGCCATAGAAGAGTACGAAATATACAAAGCAACAAAAAGTCATAGTTATGATCTATTAAACGACAAACTAAATTTCCAGTCAAACGCATTGTATGATACTGTAATAGCTAACCAGGAACAGCTGACCGGCAAGGGACAAAGTTCACGGGACCAACGCTCACCGCCGCAGTCATGACTAACCTGTCTAAGTGCGCGCACGCGGTTCGTAGGCCTACAGTAACTATTCTCCGTCCATGTACAGTATGTGTAAAAATTATATTTATTTGACGACCTCTCATGAGTGAAATGTGTTCTTGACGACCTGAAGATGAAGCTTATACTGCTTCGAAACGCGTAGTCGTTAGACAGCATTTGGATTACTTTGGCAGATCCAGGTAACATTATACCTTTTATAATCTAAAACAGTAATCCTGAGACAAGAAACAACATGAAGTTAACTGCTTGCCAAGCAAAACTTGTCTACAAGTTCAAGAACACGAAAATTAAATTGCTAAAAACAAACCAGAACATAACCTTTAATAAGGATTGTTTAGAGAATAATATAATACCAAACTACATTAAAGTCAAAATAAACAATCGATCTTTTGCTGGTCAGAAAGCCAAAAAGTTAGCAGAAACTATATGGTTAAGAACAGAAATAAAACAGCTATACAAAAAGAAAGACATGCTTAACAGATTACTATTAAACATACACTTAGAAGTTCTAAACAATATTCCTAGTTGCCAAACCATTGACATTTTACCAAAAATTGAATCCCAAATTAATAAGGTCATTTTAGGGAAAAAGAGGACGCTAAAGAAGAAACTAGATTGTTTGATCAGTAAATATCACACAACAGATGTTATAAAATCAACCCATAAATTCTACCTAAGAACAGTGAACCTAACCAAAGTTATATTCAACAAAGACGAAACATCACTTCTTGACAAAGGCCTTAAGTACAACCTACCTTATAATGGTAGAAATAGTTTCTTATCTGAGATAATTCATACAGAATCAGCAATAAAAATGATAAAAGATATTAACACCCAAAATACAGTGAGAACTCTGGTAAACGAAAAATTAAATCGAGTAATTAAAGTCAGTAAGAACAAAAGACTCAGTTACATGCAAAAACAAGAGGTCAAAACATTAAATTGTATTAAGAACAAATTACAGGAAAATAACTTGATTATAACTAAGGCGGACAAAGGTAACTCCCTAGTTGTCATGTACAAAAATGATTATAATACTAAGGTTTTAGATTTTATCAACAAAAACAACTTAGAGAGACTCAACAAAGATCCGACAACCAAGTTTACAAAAACCTTAAATACTGCTCTAAATAAAAGTTTAACGCTATTCACCGACACAGAAATCAGGAGACTAAAACCCATCAACGCCAAAGCACCACAACTCAAAGGTTTACCGAAATTGCATAAAGATAAAATTCCCATTCGCCCTCTAGTGAATTACATGCCAGCACCCAGCTACCAAGTCGCTAAAAGCCTAGAAAGGATAATTAAGCAACAAATTATTTTACCTAACAGTCATAGTCTAATTAATAGTATGGATTTAATTCTCAAAACTAGTAACACTGAAATCAAACCTAGATATACACTGGCATCGCTGGACATAGTTAATTTGTACACAAATGTACCCGTGGCATATACAATCAATATCCTAGAAGACAATCTAAAGAGCAATTCTAATCTTAGTGAGGAAGCCATTAATGAACTCATCGCATTAACAAAAATAGTAACCCAACAGAACTACTTCGCCTTTAACAATGAATATTATATACAAAACGATGGACTAGCAATGGGATCCCCACTTTCAGGAATCCTAGCTGAAATATATCTGAACAGTTTCGAAAACAATAACATATGGACAGATAACAACCGCTACAAAGATAAGATTGTATTTTACCACCGATATGTTGATGACATCGCAATCCTGTATGATGGCAACGTAAGACAACTAGAGATATTTACTAAGTATTTGAATAAAATAAACCCTAGCCTACAGTTTACCATAGAATTGGAAAGCAACGACAGGTTAAACTTTCTTGACATAACACTAATTAAAACAGAAAAATCGTTTGAATTTGATATTTACAGAAAACCTACGCTAACCGACACAACCATCCATGAAACTTCACACCATCCTACAACACAAAAAATGGCAGCTTATAATAGTTTCGTTCACCGATTACTCACCGTTCCATTAAGCCAAGATAATTTTAACAAAGAATTAAACACGATAAAATACATTGCCCAAAGAAATGGGTTTAAAACCGCCATGATCGATAAACTTGTCAAAAACCAATTAAAGAAAAAAGCCGATATTAACAGAGTAGGTGGCCAAATTGACAAAATCTTTGTAACATCAGAGTATGGTACAAGGCTGCCGAATATACTGAAACACGAACTAAAAAAGAAGAACATCGGGGTAGCGTTTAGAACTTCGAACAAACTACAACGATTACTTAATCCTTCGTCCAGTAATAGTCTAGAAACAGGTGAAAAAACTGGAGTTTACAGATTATCCTGTGATGATTGCAATAGTTTTTATATAGGACAAACCGGCCGTGCTTTCAAAACCAGATTCAAAGAACACCTTCCAAAAGCAAAAAATCATTTAAAATCCAATTATGCAGCCCATCTCATTAACAAAAATCATAACTACACAAATTTTGAAACAAATATGACACCCCTACATTTTTGCACAAAAGGAAGCTTCATGAACGCCATAGAAGAGTACGAAATATACAAAGCAACAAAAAGTCATAGTTATGATCTATTAAACGACAAACTAAATTTCCAGTCAAACGCATTGTATGATACTGTAATAGCTAACCAGGAACAGCTGACCGGCAAGGGACAAAGTTCACGGGACCAACGCTCACCGCCGCAGTCATGACTAACCTGTCTAAGTGCGCGCACGCGGTTCGTAGGCCTACAGTAACTATTCTCCGTCCATGTACAGTATGTGTAAAAATTATATTTATTTGACGACCTCTCATGAGTGAAATGTGTTCTTGACGACCTGAAGATGAAGCTTATACTGCTTCGAAACGCGTAGTCGTTAGACAGCATTTGGATTACTTTGGCAGATCCAGGTAACATTATACCTTTTATAATAAGAAAAATAAACTTATAAAACTGCTAGTTTAAACACAAAACCGTTTTTAGAATCCACATGTCACAAGCACTTTCTGCAATGTTTTAATACCATGATATAGTACAATTTTTTTCCTCTCAATCAGTTCACAAATTGATTGACAACATAAATAACCAGGACAATCTAGAAATAAATTTAAAGTTTTTCTACTCTAATTAAATCAGTTTATGATTTAACTAATTAGAAAATTCCTGCAAACATTTGCTATTTGCGAAGTGCTTTTTCACTCGCAGGTTTGTTATTTCCCCTCTCACAGAACATATCCAGTTTTATGGAAACGACAATGTTTGTGTAGGATTTTTAATCAGTGGCACCAAAACACTTTGCATGTGTGAACAAATATCAACAACTGAATAATAACCAGATCGGCTGTACTTGTATGATTTCAGCGAACAAATGTTTCAAATTAAGTGTTCGGTGTTGACAAATAATAACACACTGTTTATTGTCCGATAGCTATTAACTGGCTAAGTGTTTGTGCGTGCATCATTTTGTTTTCCGACATGATGATTTTGTTTGTCTTCTATAACACATTTTGTTTCGATGAGGTAATGGTAGAATCTGTATTTATCGGGATTTTCAACACTTCAGAAAATTAAATATAAACTGGTTGACTAATTACCTCTCCATCATTTTAGTATGTATAGATTATCAATCATTAATGCAGTAAATAATGCTTAATGTTACTACTGTATTGCAAACACTTACATTGTAGGTATCAATACTTATTTTATCATTGTCACTACTCAATCTTATGCGGTCTCAAATAGTATACCTATGTTGATTTATTAAAAAATGTCAATCGCTATGAATATTAACAAGAATTCCGCTTATCTGAAATGTTCACTAGAGTCAAATAAACAAAAATACCTCATTTTTAATGTCATCAATATACTGTACTTATAAACTTTAAACTTGCCCAAACAGTAAGTACTCCTTCTTTTATACACAAATGATTACAATGTACCACAAGTATAATCAACTAAACTATAATGTTCTCATGGAGATTGGTTGGATGGTTAGTTTTAGCATAGATTCAAATAGTAGATTCTCTAAATACAATGCTCCCCCAAATTGAAGTAAAATATTTGGGTTAGGCTTATGTAGTATACCTTGGACGTTCTTGATTTAACGAGTTTTAGGGGACTTCAGTTTAACCAGAAAACCTGGGCTGGCTTTGGTCCTGAGGAGTCCGGATAAGAGGGACTCTATTGTGTGTATACTGCCAGTGCCATTTTCTGTCCTAGAACCACAAATCCTTTGAAGGTAAACGGTCCAAATCCCTTACATTTTTGTTTGTACTGTGGCTATACCTGTTCCTCAAGTTTACAACTCTGATCAGTTTTCAACACCCAAAAGATGAACAGTCAAAATGAACAGTGTTGATCAAGCAGGTGGGCCAACTTCAAGAAACATCCATCCATAAGACAGAAGTAAATGTATGAATTTTCCACGACTCATAATACCTTGTGCCACAGGTGGGTTAAAGAGTGGCCACTTCACTCAGATGGTGTGGAAAGACTCGAAGCAACTTGGAGTTGGTCGAGCGTTCGCCAAGAACGGAGCGATGATCGCAGTTGCCAACTACGGTCCACGAGGCAACATCATCGGCCAGTTCACGTCCAATGTGCTTCCACAGAAAAAGCGCTGAAGTATCAAGTTAAAAATATTTTACCAAAGATCCTTGTAATTTTACCTAGAGTAGTGTTCATCATAGGCTGCGTCCAGCCGTTTTCCAGTATTATGTAATTTATAACTGTATATACTGTTTAGTTTTTCGACGAGTATTTCCAGGATGTTACATTTGTTATGAAGATGGCTTCCAATATTTAAGGGTTTTGAAATTAGTTGTTTAAGACTACATTTTCATGTTTTTATTAGTTAATAACGTAAATGCTATATGTGTAAGTAAAATATAACTTTTGATCCACCTTGATTTCTTGTATTCATAAACTATTTGTATTCTTGAATATTTATTAAAAAACTATTTGCTTATGATACTAAATTTTGAAAAAAGCTTACAAATATGCATTCCCTTATAATAATTGTTACCTCAATTTCAGATATCACATAGGTCAGTTTATTTGTTCTCATCATCTATCTTTACACACTTAAGATATATGTATTACAAAAACACTTCTATCCAAAGTATGGGTTCCTCCAAGTAAATGTGTAAGACATTGATTAAGTATACGTAAAAAGGTGCTAACAATCTTTTTAGATTGAATCGTATATTAAGTGCTTGTTGCGAGTTTAGATTGTTATGTTTGCCTCCAAGGGACACATTGTTAGATTGACACATATCCATATACTACTTTGTCCTTAGCATTGCACTGAAAGACTGTTGTAGTACAATACCATGCTGCTCAAATTAAGAATTCCGTTTCAATAAATTTACATTTTTGCAGTTTTTGTTTTTTAAGCACACAATAGCTCAATGTAACTTTGTTGGGTTTCATTGTGTTGAAAAACAGTGGGGACATAATTAATTTACGTAGTGATTGGGTCAAAATAAAAAATAAAATCAAGAATAAAACTTTTTCCAAAATTGCTTTGTTAAGCAGATATTCGCCATTTTGTATTATTTACATTAACGTTTTTATGATTGGATTATTTTTACTGATCTTTAAACTTATGTATGGTATGTATGTTAAGGTAGAAGAGACCCATGCTACAAAAATTTATCTTAATCCAATTTCAAATTTCTAAATTACGACCATTTTAATTTTTAAAATTTTTATCACAAAAAAGGCTAATTTTAAGAAAAACTACCAAGAACATTTTTATTTACCATTTAAAACTTCCTATCAAACGGCACTAATTTTTAAAAGATTTAATAAAAAAACTGAAATATCATGATTTTTTGTTGTATAATCGTGATTTTTCAGTTATTTTTTATTCAATCTTGTTGAACTTTGTTATGGAATTTTAAATACTAAATAAAAGTTGTCTTGACATTTTTTTATACAATCAGCCATGTTTTGGTAATTTAAATTTAAAAATTATAAATGGCTGCCATTTTGAAACTTAAAAGTGGATCTAGATTTTTTTTCTAACATGGGTCTCTTTTACCATCATACGTACCAAGTTTGATAAAGATCTTAAAACAACTTAAAGACAAAAATGTTTATTCAAAATTTACAAAATGACGGATAATATCTGGTTAACAAAGCAATTTTGGAAAAAGTGTTATTCTTGTTTTTCTCTCTATTTTAACCCAAGGAATCACTACGTACATTATGTCCCCTTTTCGTTTTTCAACACCCTGTATATTTTCAGTCCAAAATTCTTTTTTTACTTATAGGCTTTGCCTTTTTTTGTTTTCAGTTACGTGGACTTTGATTTTTGGAACTTATATTCTACAACTATGGCCTAACCAACATTATGTAAACATACATTTATTGTTATACATGTTAGATAAGGTACTATAACCACATTTATGCTGAATAATACCGTTAAGAGTATTTCAGTACCTTCTGAGCACTAATATTTGAATTACGTATAGCTTTTAAACCAAGTACAGTAGTAGAAAAAGTTATACTCCACATTCCATTAAGCTGCCTTAGTATGATCTATTTATTTTCAAAAAAAAATATTTTTCATTTTTAACATAATATTGTAGGGCATACATTCATATTAAATTATTACTAAATATCATACACTTCAACACAAGATCTATTATTAAGTTTATTGGATTATACTACTGTATACCATACCTATTTAAAGTAATATAGTCAATATACCCTTCTCAACAAACATTGCATATTGACATTGGACTGTGAAAGCAGGCCTATATTTGTCCACAGAAATTTGTTTATGATATCTGTGTTATGTTTTATTATCGAACAACAATCAAAACATTGTACATTCCAAATTTACCTTTCAAAATTAACTAATTGTGAAAATATTTACTTCTCAGACCAATCTAAACATTCCTCTTTGCAGCCTGTTAATCGCTTATCGGATTATAAGCAATACAAATATTTTCGACTTTTTGTGTTTTTGTGTATTATTCAGTAAAAAAATCTGAATCTGATAGTTTGTTGGTTTTAAAATTGGCATAAATAGTCTCAAAATTATTTCTTTCATAAATAAAGTACTCTTAATATTGTTTTCTGAATTTTTAATAAAAATAAATAACGAAAAAATAATGTTTTCACAGTTGTTCTAAATAATATATACATTTTAATGCATTGCCTGCTCTAGCTATAAATTTCTAAGTTTTTAATTTTAGGACTTTTTTGGCTACAATAACTATGACTCGCATATTCATGGTATAAGTTTTTTACAATGTGTATTTTACATCTGCTTGTATTTTATTTGTATTCATATACTAACTTTAATTAGTATTCCCCTTTAATTTTACCCTTTCATGCTGTTATGAAACTTAACTTTACCAATGCCACACAACTTAAGGATCTTAAAAATATTCCTTAAGTGGAAAAAACATTTGTTCTCTTCCATAAGAGCATAAACCATATTTTGTTACACCAGTGAACAGAGTTCACTTATTGTTGCACCAAATTCAAGTACCTTAAAACTTCTTCCACTTTTGACCTTAGCGGTTGTTTGAGATCGTTAAATAAGATACAATGTAAGCACAAACAGGTAAAGTTTGTACCAAACGTAGGCTAAGGTTTGACGGGTCGTCACATTATTTTTGTAGTTTTATATTTGCTCTACGTCCGTTTTAGCAGTTCCTTGCACTTGTTACAGTCTAAGATGCAACTTCGTCCCAGCAATAAATAGACTGCATTCTCTGAATTCCTGGCCATTTTGTAGCTCCTTGTACCTTTATCATGATAAAAAATATTATTATTGAAATATTTCTGTTGTTTTATTTCCCCTTTATTTTAGTTTTAGGATTTTTATGTTTATTATATCTTGTAAGAAGAATGTTGAAAGAATGAATGATACACAACGTTAAGCTTAAGGGAAAGATGAATTAAGGGTGAGCATTAAATTATTATTATTCCTTTATGGGGTTCCTCAAGGTTGGGGATGGGGACTATTTCATGATCATAACCTTATTCTAAATTCTGAAAAAACTAAGTTCATAACGTTAAAAACCCACAAAACCGAAAATCTACAGATCCAACACTAGTATAGTACTGTATATAGATCTCAAAACATCAATAGGGAAAGTAGTATCAATTTTCTAGGTTTAACGATAGACAAACGCCTATTTGGAATGAGCATGTACGAAATATTCTGCTTAAATTATCTATGAAAAACGTCTTTTTATGGCACAAAAAATATATATATGGCCCATGTTCATTCCCATACCCTGTTCGGCATAGCATTATAGGGTTCAATTAAACAAAATAATATGGATTTTATTTTAAAACAGCAAAAAAGTCTATCAGGATAATGCTCAAGCTAAAGGGAGATGATTCAGCCTAAGAACAGAATTAATATGTATATATAGCTATAATTAATATTGCATTGTATGCTATCATCTTTCATGTCAACTATCACAGTAACATAAACTAATGAAGAAAATCTCAGTAGCACAATCTGCTAGTGGCATATTCAACCATGTCTTAAAAAAGACTGGCTATAACATATCCATGAATGTGTAATGTCAAATGCAGAATCCAACAGTCAATTTGTAGTTTTTAGGTACACAATAGGCAATCCCTGTAAAAATAATAAAATAACAGAGTAAATTCTCATAAACAAACTTTTCTAATTATTTATTGTCCATACGGTACTGTCCTACTAATAGAGGCTCATAGTAAAAAATAAAGTGTTTTAAACTTTTTAATTTCAAATATCTGGTTGGCCTTTCTGTTTAAAGTCAAATAATCCATCTAAAAATAAACTAAATGTGTCTGAATAGCAACAAATATCACAGAACAGGAGCCAAATTAAAATGATTTTCCAAATGATTTATTTTTAAACGGGAATTCCCGAATGCTGTAGGTTGTGTGGGCCACATGGTACAGGAAGTGTCCATCTAACTGACGTTGACAGGGCGCATCAAACCATCTTCATCTCCCATCTCTTTCTACATTTCTTTCTACATCTCTCTCACTCTCTCTCGCTCGCTTCACTGCTTTTTGTCACGAATGCTGGAACACAAACAAATACAAATTATATCACCAAGTTGCCAACGTCTTGGATTGTGATGTTCGATTAATTGGTTAGGTTTAGTCGTTTATGTGGTCGAAACTTATTTAATATGATAAATAGGTTACATACCTTATAAATGCGACATACAGCTAATTTTTATTGAAGGTCGTTTACATGTTTCAATCGGCCATTGTCAAAACGTCGCAGTAGGATGGTGAAATCCTTGTCATTGTTTTATACTAAAAGTACATACGCAGGAACTTTGGTCGACGCCCATTGGTCATCAGTCCACATCAGCTGATAAGACAAGACCAACAATGCACAACTAGTTCAGTCTGCATCCTGACCTTGACAGTGGTGTGCGTCCTGCCCGTGTATTTTACCTTTACGTAATAGGCATATTAAAGTGTTATTAGTTTTCGTAATGTCTTCTTCCCGACCGTGTATGTGTGTTTGTGTATGTACTTTTAGTATAAAACAATGACAAGGATTTCACCATCCTACTGGGTACAAGCCGAAACATGTAAACGACCTTCAATAAAAATGAGCTGTATGTCAGATTTATAAGGTATGTTACCTATTTATCATATTGAATAACAATAACAGCTCATGAGCTAGAATGGAAATGAATGTTGAAACTTATTTGTTGTATATCCCTATTCGCGTGCCCTCTCCTTGATGTTAATCCTCCTAGCTGTACATAGTATAAAGCATTGTTTTCTTCTGAAGTCTAAAATGTTCACGTGTAAAAAAATATCCAGGTACATGAAGTAGCGTACTAAGGATACAAAATTTCATTTTTATGGTGATTCATCAAAATAAAAAAAGATGAGTAAGGAATGTGTCTAGTGTATTACATACACTTAAATCGCACATTGAATTTGATTTATACATATTTCAAGCTAACATAATTCCAAAATGGGCGACCAGTTTATATAAATTGTGTTCTTATTCTAAAATATATGCGATTTGGTGCCTCCCAATAGTATATTTCATGACTTTGGCGTAAAAAATGAGTGTGGGTTGAAAATACACTTTTTCCTACAGTTACCTAACAATGTACATGTTCTCTCACTGATTTGAGAAAGCAAAGTGGCCAATTCGCTCATCAGTGAGACAATGTTAACATTGTCTCACTCTAATTACTTTGTCTCACTCCAGATTTGCAACGTGAAGGCACGAAGTAGTGAGCGCGTAACATGCTGGCAACGTCGTATGCGCGCGAAATACGTTGGCAGCACTGGCTGTAAATCAGCTGGTCAGCTGTTGTACTGTTGTATTTGTCACTTCACGTTAAATATTATATTAAAAGTTCACTTCTGTGTAAAAATAGGTTATGTTTCTTCACCAATTTATTTGTTTTATGGTAACTGTAGGAAAAGTATAATGTGCAACTCGAGTTACACATTATATTACATTATATTTTATTTTACAGTTACTATAAAGAATATTAATAATTAGTCCTTAAAACACTGTACAATATGTTTTTAGGTTAGGTTAAATATGGTTAAATCCAAGCGTTGAACGAAATGGCAAACGCTGCACCAGCTGATCGTAGTCGTAGTATCTTTAAGCGTTGCGAATTTATTTTCAAGCGTGCACATAATTATAATAATTGTTTTGAGTTGTTTGGTTGAAATACTGGAGTGTAGTAAAAGTAGGTAAATGCAGCAAT